ATAGGCGCCAAGAAGAGTTTCTTATTTTAAGAAGAAAATCCTCTAAATAGTAATATTGATAAGAATATATACTGATTAGAATATAAAAAGCCTCTATAGAAAAACATATATATCTCACTATCAAAAAAGACTATATTCTTAAATTATATTCTTAAATTAAGAAGGCTCTTAATTTATATAAGAAACTCTTGTTGGCGCCTATTTTAGTATAAAATATACTTAAAGTAAGTGGAATATCCTCTAAACAAGAATACAATTTTTTCGGTGGAAACATACCGTTGTCCTCTCATCTCGTAAAAACAAAATATATTCCTGCGACGTTTCCGCAGCATCCTTTGCAGCAGATCGCCGACATTCGATATGTCTGATGGGTCTCGGGTGTATTTTCCACGGCATATCTTCTCTCCAACACCTCCTTAAGTTCTTATCTTTAACACGCGTGAGATTAAGATTTGCGTCGTTCCGGTCTAATCTCTTTAATCGGAAAGATGCGATTACATCGCGTAGTCGCGACGTTAATTCGAAACAGCAGCAGCTTCGGGTTCGAACTGGAGAAAGGAAGAAACCCGAATGAAAACACAAAAATTCTTTTAGACGCAACTTCCCTACCCAAGAAAGTCCCCCACTTTGCAGCCACACTGGATTTTCGACGGGTGTCCCCGCGCGCAACGCTATATCTCTCTACTCTTCGCCCGCTTTTCTTCTCTTCCCAAAATTCTCTTCTCCCCGTTTTTGAACCCAGTAATTAAAATTGTTCCATCGATCTATCCTCGCGCAATTTGTTGCACGTGATAGATGATACTTTTCACAGCTGCTCTTGTCAAAGAACAAATAAATAAATCAAACGAAAGAAAATTATTAAATTTACGCCAATCGCGCGGACAGATCAAACGAACTTTTGGCCGCCTCTACTCGCCAATTTGTGAATGAATGGCGGTCTTGTACGCGAAATATCCCCGACGCAAGTTTCGGTAACGAAGTCGAATTTCTTTGATTAAGTCGCGTTTTGCGCGTATCTCGATGCGTATCTCGTTCGTCAAACGATTGCAATGATATAAAAATATATATCGCGGCGGAGAGATCGTCGTGAAAGAAGACTCTCGAAAAAAATCGCACCGGAGAATCGGGACATCAAACGGGACGAGAGTTTTATTTCGGGGCTGCAGATTTGCGCTCGTCGCGAGCGTTTCCAATTTCGTTTCTACATGTGCGCATCAAAGACGCTTCTTCGCGACGAAAACACGAGCGCGATAAAAAAAAAAAACTTATCTCAAAATCGTTTCGTCGATTATGTTTTTTTTTTTTTACCGCGTGTCGCGCTATTGCGCAATTGCGGACATTTTCCGCAGTTTTGCGATCAGAGAACGAGACAAAAAAAAAAACCAGAACTTACGTGACAACATTTTTATTTTTCTCTCTCCTTCTTCGCGCCTGTGTGCGAAGTTGCGCACACTTGGTAGCTCGCCCGAGACTTCCATAACCGGAGAGAAAAGTTGACGACAGACTTAAAAATAAAACCGCGTTAATTCGTCCCGCCAATGTCGGCGCGATTCTTTGTACCTACTCGAGAGAGTCGGCGAAACATACACACAAACTCGTCGCGAAACGACGATTTTCGACGAGGTCTTCCTCTTCAGAAAAATCACTCGCGATCTTCTCGGATTTGCATAATTTATATATTCGTCTCATAATAAAAATCATCGCGCGCGATTGCGCAGCTTCTTCTCTTGGTTTTTGAGAAACAAATTCTCGCCCGAGAAAAAAACGGATTGGATCCAATTTAAATCTAACGAGATAAAAAAAAATGGGAAGATAAAAATCTAATTAGGTCTAAATTAAATCTAAATAGATATAAAGTAGGTCTAAATAAATATAAAGTAAATCCAAATAGATACAAGCAAATCTATGTAAATTTACACTTTTATTTATCATTGGATCTACTTTTGATCTACTCAGATCTATTATATTATATATAATATTATATAATATATTATATATATAATTATATATATAATATAATAGATCTGAGTATTATATAATATATTATATATATTATATAAATCTAAATAGATATAAGCAAATCTATGTAAATTTACACTCTTTTATTTATCATTGGATCTACTTTTGATCTACTCAGATCTATTATATTGGCGCCTGGATCGCCTCAAATCTGTTCAGATCTGCTTAAATCTAAGTAAATCTGAGTAGTTTTAACATAGTGGATCTGAGTAGATCCTAAAGTAGATTTAAATATACAAAAGTGTAAATTTAATAGTTCTTGCATTTATTTAGATCTACTTTACATCTATTTAGATTTAATTTAGATCTAATTAGATCTTTATTTTTCCAATTTTTTTATCTCGTTAAATTTAAGTTAGATCTAATCCATTTCTTTCCGGGAGATTCATCGATTATTTTTACAAGAGAGAGAGAGAGAGAGAGAGAGAGACGAAAGAACCCTGAAGTTATCGTTTGCGTTGTTTCTTTCAGACGAGCAAGAACGCGTGCAGAAGAAGACTTTCATAAACTGGATCAATTCGCATTTATCGAAGGTGAGCACATCGATCACACTTTGCTAGCTCTAGGGAGAAGAGAGCAAACACAAACGCATACACGAGCGGCGGCGCGCCTGATGACAAATAGATGCTGATAAGATGTGCGCGACGCGCGCGCTCTAGATTGGCTGATTTTTTTTATTTTTCATCATTACGTAATTTGGAGTACTACCGCGATCTCTAATACGCGGCGCAATAAAACGCGGTGATGCGGCTTTGGCTAACGTGTATACGCTGTGGCAACTCGAACGGTCGCTAGTCCGTACCTGGCTCTCAAGTTTTAGTGCTTTCCCACTTCCGCATCCTTCAAGAACTCGACTTGCCGTGCAAACTTGCGCTCCGTGACATACATATACATATATGTATGTACACGAAAGGCCGCCCAAGTATCTTGCTCGTCGCTATTTTATGTGCGTCCTTCCTCCGCTAACGCTTCTTCCTCACCTCTCACGCGGTCGTTCTTACGCGTTTGTTTGTTTTTTATTAAAATAATTAATGCAAATTCGACGGTCGATAGTCGCGCAGAATTCCGACGATAAATCTGTCGAAAAAAAAAAAAAAAAACGAAACATCGCTGAAACCTCACGGCAGTAATGCGAAATTAATACGTTGCTAATTAATATGTTGCTAATTAATATGTTGCCGCAATATATTGTGCGCAAAACATCTTCACGGAAATATTGCAATTGAGTTGTACGATATTTCTGCAATTTGCAACACGCGGCAATATTGCAACGCGTCTTGCAAGAGGTTTCGGCAATATTTCGCGCGTCTGATATTTGTTAACAGTGGTTTTCAAATTAACAAAAAAAAAAAAAAAAAACAGCCAGATCTGATTTTCGCGCTCGCATCATAAACAAATTGCGAATTGCAAACTTGCAAATTTCTTTTTTGCGCAGAGAGTTCCACCGCTTCGTGTCGACGATTTAATCGAGGATCTGAAAGACGGCACGCGGCTTCTCGCGTTACTCGAAGTTCTCTCAGGCGAGAAATTGGTAATGAAAAATATGTACTGTTATTTTGTTCTTCGCACCTTTGTTTAAATAAAAAAAAAATAAATAATCTGAAGCGTGTGTGTCTATCTAATCTCTAAAATCGTCGTTTTGTTTTCAATTTTCCCAGCCGGTCGAGAGAGGCCGCAACTTAAAGAGACCGCATTTCCTCAGCAACGCCAATAGCGCGCTGCAATTTTTGCAGAGCAAAAAGGTGCGTGCGTTGTTTTTCTTTTTTGTTTTCTTTCTTTTATTCCACTCCGCATACAAAGTAAAAACAGAAAAAAAAAAATCAACGAATATATTAATTTCTAATCCGATGACACGCTCTTTCGCAGATCAAATTAGTGAATATAAACTCATCCGATTTGGTTGACGGACGACCCCCGGTAGTGTTAGGCTTAATATGGACCATTATTTTGTACTTCCAGGTATTTATCTCGTCACGCTTGTAATTTTCATACACACACACGCACACACACACACACAAGCAATTCGTACGTAATGGTAGCTACGCTAAAAGAGCACCATTATTTACTCTTTAGTATGCGGTAGCTGCTTTTGTAACTTACATAGCGCTCGTATAACATCACGTATATAATAAAAAAAAAATACAAACTTTTTTTTTCTGTACAAATATTATATGCGCAACAGCACCAACCAAGTTTTTTCAAATTCTGTTCGCAACGAGGATCGATTTTGCGCGCGCTCGCGCGATCTTCAAACGACACTGCAATTCTCAAACTCAAAAAAAAAACAGATGTTGTTTCGGAAAGAAACGATCGGCTGCAACAAGGTAACGTTTTTTTTTTTTCAATTAAATCGCGAGCGCGCGGTAGAAGCAATCGATCCTCGTCGCGAGTAAAAAAAAGTAAGTTATGTTCATCACTTTCTTTTGTCTCTGCTAACCGCGTGTCTATTCCAACAAACAAGCTACGATCAAAGGATCGCAAGCGGGTGAGTAGCGACAAAAACAAAAAGCGAGGAAATCGCGAACCCTAACGCGATCCTTATAACCGCGCGATGCTATATATATATATCCGCATCCATCCAGACAGTAAGATTAAAATGCACTTGCATGATATTGCGCATTTTCAATTAGCGAGCTACAATCTCTCGTTTATCTCCCATAGACTCGACAAGAATAATAATAATAATAATAATAATAATGAAAAAAAAGAGAACAAAAAAAAAAACTTGACACGACCTCGATTGATTAGATGATCGTTTTTTAGATCGAGGAGAACACGAGGGCTCTCGAATATCTCGGACAGGCCTGGGGCAGTCAGAGCAGCCTCGAAAGTCTCGGCACTCAAAGCTCAGCGGCGAGCGAGAGAAAACGCATAAGCAGCGAAAAGTGGAAACAAGGGGCGCGAAAAACCCTGCTTCAATGGGTCACCAATGCATTGCCTAAGTCAGTACCTAAGTAGGTCGCGTCGCATTTTTTTTTTTCGATATCCAAACCGTCGATGAATCGACGTGCCCTTCGGATGACTGTGGCCCCCGGTCACGTTCGACCTGATATTTTGTAACAATCAAAAAATTTTTGCCTCGTTTTACACAAGTATATATAGCGAACTAAACTATTGATAGTTTTTTTAATAATTTTGTTTCGCATATTTTCTTTTTGTTCTTATTTTAAATACATTCCAATTACGGTCAATTTCTCCGATTGGGTCTCTCGAGTGAGACCCAACCACCCCCCGCCAACGAAGGGTTTAGTCCCGACAAATGACGAATCGCGCCGAGTTTATGTATTCCATAAAAAAAAAAAAAAAAAACAATGTAACGTATCAAAGTAATATAATTGTTATATAACCGAAATCGCGATTCTCCACAGGGACGTGAATATTCAAGTTCGAGACTTCGGTGAGAGTTGGCGAGACGGAAATGCCTTTCTGGCTATTATCGACGCGATTAAAGCCAACTTGGTGAACATAGCGGCCATGAGAGAAGCCACGAACAAAGCTAGGTTGGAGAAAGCTTTTCACGTGGCCGAAGTTGAGCTTGGCATCGCTCGACTGTTGGATCCCGAGGACGTGGACGTGCCGCAACCCGATGAGAAATCAATCATGACCTACGTCGCACAATTTCTGCACAAATATCCGGAACCGGGTAACAAAGCTCCGGATTCGTTCGCGGCCGTACAGGAGGAGTACGACGGTCTTCTCGTTTGGCTCAACGAGCGCATCAGACAGCTCGATCAGCTCGACAGAACGAACACATTTCCGCAAAATTATTTGGTACTTTCGCAACAAGATTTTATTAAACGTTAGATTTAAGATTTTGCGATTTTTTTTCTTTTCTCATTTCGCTTTGTCAAGTGAGACAGTTCTTCTTGCAGGATTACATGCTGTGTAGAACGGAGGCCGATGAGAAATTCATCGTTTACAAGAAACTGCAGACTTTGGTCGACACGTCCAGCATGATAAGCATCACGCGAGACTCCTGGAAGCACATACAAATGTTGTGGCATCAAATGGAATTGCTCGTAAGAAAATTTTCCGAAATGTTTTTTTGTGAAAAAAAAAAATCGTAAGAAAGTTTTTTCAGAAACTGGATATCTGGTTTTGTTTTTTCTTTAGATGATGCATTGGCTCTGGGCGTTAGACTCGGCGTTACCGGGCGAATTGGGAGAGGCCGGTAGATGGTTAGCGAAAGCCGAAGCTCTGTTGCATTCGGACAACGACATACCGACGGAAATGATGGACAGCACGGCGGGTATAATCTCGAACAAGCTGGAGGATCACAAGAAGTTCTTCCTCGACCTGCCCGCAATGACGGACAAGTTTCAGCGTGCCAAAAACTCGTTGCCGTTGGCGCAGCAAGTACAGTTGGAACACTTGGAGAACATGTCCGCGCGTTTCAACAGCTTGCCCGATCGTGCCGCCAAGAGAAAAACGAAATTGAAGTTCTTGGAGCACAAATGTTGTCTGATAGCTTTCCTGTATCTCGTCGAGACCAAGCTGAAAGGCTGGAACGTCAAGTACGGCACGGAGGAGAAAGTGCATCAAATGCTGGAGCAATATCGCAACTTTGTTTCGAAAAACAGAATATTTCAGGAGTTCCAGAAGGCTTACTTGGACATGCAGCAAGTTGCCGAGGAGTACAAGAGAGATGGCAATATTGGTAAGCAAGAGATGTATTAATAATTAGAATTATTGAATCGGAGATAACTTAGAAAATTGCGTTTTCAGATCGAGATGAGTGTCTCAATATCGATCGCTTCATGCGCGACACAGCTGAGAAGTGGAAAAACGTGTCGATGGATTTGCGATGTGCTCAGAGCATGCTCGAGGAAGTCGTCGCTTATTGGCGCCGCTGGAACATCGTTTCGGACGAATTCGAGGCGTGGCTGCTTCGCGCCGAACCCGCCCTCAATCTTCCAGAAGAGGAGAAAATGGAATTCTTTCAGGATATCAGCGTGTGGAAGGACAAGTACCAGCAGTTGTCCGACACCGTGAGTTTTCTGATCGCCACGTCCGACGAGACGGTCGCTCTGCGTCTGAAGGAACGTTACGGAAATCTGACGTCCAGATGGGAGAAGCTATTCCAAGAAGCCAAGCAGTACATGCACGCGGGCGATCTTATTCGAACGAGAAAGGACTACAAGGCGGGCGTGGAGACTTTGCAGAACTGGCTGAGAAACGCCGAGTCCGCCTTGTCGACCACCGGACTAAGTTCGACAGAACGGATCAAGGCCTACGGCGAGAAACTGCAGATTCTTCACAACGAAGTCGAGGGCATCGAGGAACTGTTCAAGAATATCAGCAAGAAGTTTCAGACCCTCATCCAGGACCTGTCTCGCGACGAAGTCGACAAAATGATGAACACATTGAAGAAGGAGAAAGAAGCGCTTATTAAAGTACGCGCGCTGATACCAATGCAACTCCACTTGTATCACCAACTGTTGGTGCAACAAGAATCGCTCGAGACGGGACAGAAGGAGATATCCGCGTGGTTGGACGAAGCCGAAAACTTTTTGGCCAATATCAATCTCGCGGGTGGTCGGGACGCTGCGTTGGCTCAATTGGAACATCACAAAGCCTTTTTCTCGAGAACGCTCTATTACAAGTCCATGCTGGAGTCGAAGAACAAGGTGTTCGCAAGCATCGTCAAGACTGTGGACAGTCACGCCGATGTGAACACGGCCGAGGGAGGAGCCACTCTTAGAGAACTCAACGAACGATTTAACAAACTCTCGCAGACGGCGCAAACCTGGGAACAACGTCTTCAAGAATCCGTGCGACGTTGGACCAAGTTCAGGGAGTGCGAGCGGCAGATCTCCGAGTGGCTGTCGGTCGCGGAAACGATGATCAACGACAAGCACATCGACAATCGTCAATCCGTGGAACATCACAAAAATTTCTTCGGCAAAGTCAACGAGAAATGGATACAAGATCTGGTTAAGGCCGGTCAAGATCTTCGAAACATACTGCCGGCCGATCAGCAACTTCCCATTGCGAACACCGTGGAAGCTCTACAAAATCGCTGGAAGGAGGTTCTTATATTCGCGCCGCTCCATCTGATGAGACTCGAGTTTCGTCTGGACGAAGCCAGCTTCTATCAATATCTCAAAGAGATCGAGATGGAAATCAATTCCGAGCAGCAAGCGCTCATTAACAACGACGATGTGGACGGTATTCAGCAACGCAACAAGGAGTTCTTCGTGAACCGCGGCACCGTGCTCGAGGTCGAGCGCTGTTTGCAGACTCTGAAGAGAATTAGCGACGTTTACAACAAGCACAAACCGAAGGACACCAGTCTGATCGACGCCGCGCAAAATGCCGAACGTTTCTGGGAAGAAACCGCGCAGAAGGTGGAAAATCTGAGGAAACAGTTGCGCGAGGTTCCGCAGCAATGGGCAGCTTACAGACAGAAGTGAGTAGTCGAGCTTAGCGAAGAAGGAAATTGACGGTCGAAGAAACGTTTTATTTCAAACACGTTATGTATATTCGATTCCAGATTCGACGAGATGGTGCAGTGGATGGATCATGTCGACAGTATTCTGAGAACTATTTTGCGCGAGGTGAACACTCTGGAAGAATTCGAAAAGGAAAAGACCATATTCCAGGTAAGCAACGAGATAATCAATCTCGCGTCTAGAATCTCTACTCTCTCGCGCGTCTCTCTCTTTCTCTAAACATTAAAAAAATATTAAACCACTCTCTCTGCCTGACTCATTTGTTCTCTGCGTACCTTCCGGCTAGCTCCAGACCTTGACGGTAAATATTCGCGCGTACTTCCGTGTAGCGCGTTTATCCGCGCGTTTTGATAAAAGAAAAAATGTAAAAATGTTTCGTCGATTGTTGACAGAAAATCTGCCGCGAGGCCGACGGCAAACGCGAGGAGATGAAGTGGCTGGTTCAGACTCTCGATAACTTGACGCTGAATCGTTCGGATCGCGAGGCGTTGACGGCGCAGCAGAACTTGGAGCAACTGATATCCCGCTACAAGAACCTGATACCCACGATCGAGATAACAATGACGAAAACGGACATCTATTCGAAGAGTTACACCTATCGGAAGGAGGTGCGCGAGGTGTGCACCTTGCTGCGCACAGTTCGCGAGCAATCGAAGGAAGAAGTCGCTCCGGAAATACCTGAGAAACTGCAGAGCGCGTTGACCAATCAGGAATCCCGTTTGAATCAATTGGAACAACAGCGGGCGAACATTGTCAGTATGTTGCAACGCGGCAAGGATCTTCTGAAGGATCAGCACGCACCGCCGTTCGTGTCTTCCGAGGTCCAGCAACTTGAAAGCAATTGGAACGACACGTACGGCCAGAGCATGGAGACGCTCAAGTCTCTGAAGGACTCGCAGAAGCTCTGGAGCACCTATCAGGATCAGAAGAATGAGATTTCGAAACTGATCGAACAGGCCGAACGGGAGTTGCGACAGATGGAGTCGACGTCGTACTACGACGCCGCTCAAGTGTCTTCCGATCTGCAGAAGAAACAGGAATTCAACGAGAATTTGAGAAAAGCGAGCGACGAGATGATGAGGAAACTGCGCGAAACCCACACAAATCTCTTGCAAACCCTCAAACCGTCGAGCAAGAAGGAAATTCTAGAGAAAGAAGTCACGGAAACGGAAAAGAAGGTCGAACACACGCTGAAGATGGTGCGCGAGAAGGTGGTTTATCTTCAGGAACACAGCGCTCGCTGGAACAAATTTCAATCGAAACTCATGGAACTTCGAACGTGGACGCAGCAAGCCGCGCCACAGTCGATCGCGGATATCGAAGATTCCGCGGCTTCACCCGAGGAAAAAGTACGCAAAGTCGAGAACCTGCAGAGAGAAATAAAGGAGAAGTCGTCTACTTTGAACGTTCTCGAAGACGAGTCCCGAAAACTCGTCAAAGGCAAGTATCAAATTTTTTGTTTTTGTTTCGTATTCGACAAGATTAACATTTAATTTTAAATTCAATCGATGAGATTTGAAAAAAAATATTAATTTTTTCCAAATCAACTTCAATATTTAAAACTAAAGTTAGAAATAGATAACGAACGTTAAATTTTTCTGTGTGACACAGAGGACACCGCACCGGCGGAACGACTGCGCCACGACATCGAGCATCTTCGCAAATCGATCGAGTCGCTGAACAAGAACGCGATAACGCAACGCGAGGTGGTCACGCAAAATCTCGCCATGTGGAAAGAATACGAGGAGGGTATTCGGAAGATAAAACCCTGGATTGAGAAAGCGGAGTCCAAGGCAGCCGCGATGGGCAGCAAACCCACCACTCTGAGCCAAGCCGCGCAGATGTTGGAGTCAGCCAGAACCTTCCAAGTCCAGTGTCAGGAACATCTTCCGAAGGTTCAGAATCTGTCGACTATCAGTCAGCAAATAACCGGAAGAACGGTAGCGCCCGACGAGGTCGACGCGGTTCATACGCGATGGAACGCGGTTTACGACGTGGCGGTGCAGACAACGACCAAATTGGACAAACTAGTTACGTCGTGGAACACCTTCGAGACCGAAACGAAGGAATTTAACGACTGGTTGGAAACCAGCGAGGAAAAAGCTCGAAAGGAACCGAATGTTCGAACGCGCGAAGCCGCCAAGCTCGAGGCAGAGTTGGCGCAGCTGAAAGCGTTCAACAAAAGCATATCCGATCATCAGGCCCAATTGATATCGCTGACCCAGCTTTCCGATCACATCAGTCACGGGTTGTCGATCGACGGTGCGTCCGCGTTGAAGAATCGCGTCGCCGAGATGAAGTCCAGAGTGAGCAAACTCGCGGACACCGTTCGTCATCACATCAATCGCGTATCCGATTCGCTGTTGGCGCAACAAGAGTTTCAGATGAAGATAATCGACTTCGAGAACTGGATGACGAGGCTCAGATCCAACATCAACGAGCTCGAAGACGTTAACGTCGACAACGTCGACACGAGTCTGCAGGCGGTGCACGCGTATCTTCAGGAACACTCGGAGAAACAGCCTGCATTCGCGGTTATCTACGACGAGATCAAACAGTTGTCGTCCCAAAGTTCCGTGTCGGAAGCGGCCACGTTGGACGAGACCTACACGTTCTTGGCGAAGAAATACAAAGCGCTCGAGGACGATCTGCGAGAGAAGAAGAAAAGTCTCGAGAAGTGGATCGAACTTTTGAACTGGCACAACGAGGCCAACGCGCAACTCAATCATTGCAAGTACGAGGCCGAGGCGAGAAAACCAACCATCGCCGATCTAAACAGACTTTCGTCGGAGCTCGAGAGTGTGCGCGCGAAGATCAACACCTGGAACGAGCGCGTTCCGCTGATGGACAGCACTCAGGGAATACATATTCGCGACAAGCAAGGAAAACCGATAACCGCGACCGCGCTGCTGAACGATCTCGAGTCGAAAGCGACGGTGTTGAAGAGAGAATTGTCCGCCAAACGCGACAAGTTGGAGAATCTCGACGCCAAGTGGAACAACTTCAGAAAATTGCAACAGAAAATCACGGAACAGATTGTTAACGTGCAAACGAAACTGCAAGACATCACATACGCCGTCGACGCTTGCGAGAAGCTCGCGCCGGCGATCGAGCAAATCGACGACCTGATCGAGGAGCACCAGAGACGAGAACCGGAGAAGGAAGTTCTTCATCGAGAAGGCGACAACTTGATGAAAGAGGATCAACGCGCGATAACCAACATTCAAGTGGTAGTTTGCTCGGTGGACGGCAACTGGGAAAAAGTCAACGAGCTTCTGCGCGAGCAGAGGAAAAAATATTCCGAGATGGACGCCGATTGGAAACAGTACCGGGAAGCCAGGGAGAAGTTGAACAAGTCGATCGACGGTGCGAGAACTTTGTGCCAGTCGATAAAAGACGTGTCGATCGACATCACCCAAGTCAACATGGCTCTGGAGAAGCACAAGAAAGCCTCGGAGATTCTGAAGAACGGCAAGCAACATCTGGACAAGATGGACGTCAAGATGCAACAGATCGCGAAGGAGGCGTCGTTGATGCCAAACTTCAAGATCAGTCCGATCGAATCGGATCTGTCCGACGTGCGCAAGAAATATCACGAGACCTACGCGGAAGTGATCGATCGCACTCAACTGCACGAGACGCAAGTCGTCATTTGGAAACAGATCGAGGATGCTAAACGCGAACTGATCAAGTGGCTGAGCGACACGACGGAAGCTTGCACCGCGGCGTGTCAGCGTTTGCTCGACGCCGAACACGGACAAGCGCAACTGGCGAGATATCGTGAAGAATTGCCGGCGCAGCAGCAACTTCGTCAGAGCATCGCCACGAAGACCGAGCAACTCGTCAAGTTGAACGACGACACGGACATACCGACTCTGAGATGTCTCAACAATTTGTTGGACGATCACTTCAAACTTGTCCACGAAGCCGCTGACAAACTCGCGTCGCTCATGTCGACGTTCAACGAGAAGGAAAAAGACGTCAAGCAGAACCTGAAGAAATGCGGCGACGCGATATCGAAGATACGCGAGGAGATAATCAAGTGCGACGATCTGACCGGCGAGAACGTCAAGATTCTGCACAGAATCAACAAGTGTCAGGAGTTGAAGACCGAGCTGAACAAGTGCGATCGCACGCTCGCGGAAATCGACGAGAAACTGAAGAACATGACGTCGGATTATCCAACTATATCCAAATCCAGTCTGCCGAAAGAACTGCAGGCGTTGCAGCTCCGCAGAGACGGGGTGGCCAGTCACGCCGACAAGGTGAACGCGACCTTGGTTGCCTTCCTCGCGAAACTCTATCACGAGAAATTCGGCGTTCTGCAGCGCATGGTTGCGACGCACAAGGAGAAGGTGGCCTGGTGCGAACCCGAGCAGAGCAGCGATCGTTACAATCTCCAAGTGAAGATGACCTCGCTGGCGGACGTGGAAACCGGCATTGCCGACTGCGAGGCGAGAAAAATCGACACGGACAATTTGCTGAAGCTCATCGACACCGTCGAGAGCCCCGAGACCATTTCGGATCTCAGAAACGAGCGCGACAAGGTCGTCGCCGACTTGGACTCCCTCAAAGTCAGCTATCGAAGAATCAGATCCGTGCTGGAACAGAACATCGCTCTGTGGCAGCGATACGAGGTCGCGTCCGAGAACGTGGTCGCCTGGCTCAAGGAGAACGAGAACAAAATTCGAATTGAAGCCACGACGCTTCTCAATCCGGACAATCTGGACGCGAAGATCGCCGAGGTGAAGCAACTCGAGAAGGAGGTTCGTAACTACGAGGGCGAGATGAAGAATCTGATCGCGCTCGGGGAGGAGATCGCCAAGGTCAGTCCGGAGTCTCGCGTGACTCATTACGTCGGACACTTGAACACGCGTTATCATTCGGTTCTCAAGTTCCTGGCCCAGCATCTGCAGAGACTCGCGGAACTCAAACAGGTCAGAAGTCAGTATCTCGCCAATGTGAAAGAGTTGGAACAGTGGTTGCAAAATGCGGAGCGAAAGCTGAAGACTTACGACGAGATAAGCGGACCGAAACCGATGACATTTTATCAATCCCGACTGAAGGAACTGAAGGCGTTCAGAGAAGAGCGCGAAGCCGGACAAGTTATCCTGAATCGAACAGCGGAAACGGGAGAGGCGCTTTTCGCGAGAATAACGCCGGATCACAGAGAACTCATCAGAGGCGAGCTGAGAAATTTGCGCAGTGGCGTCGAAGCTCTGGCCGATCGCGCGAACGCGATTTACAAGAAGATCGAGAGCGACATGATGCATCGGTCCTCGTTTGAGGACAAATATTCCCAGGTGAAACAGTGGCTGAACGAAGCGCGAAAGAAGCTGGGAGACAAGCAGGATCTGCTGCCGACGCTTCAGGAGAAGAAAATCACGTTGCATCTGTACAAAGCCATCGCGCAGGACGTTGGAATTCATCGGAATATTTTGCAACAACTTCAAGACCGACTTGGCGCGATGCCGGACGACGAGGCAAGCGAGATGCTCAACAGCCTGATCGAGGCGCACGAGAAACTGTCGGAAGACGTCGAGAGCCGAATTAACATAGCTGAAACCCACGTGACAAATCACGAGGCTTATCTCCAAACGTTCGAGAAGACTCGAGACTGGATCAACACGATAGTGAACGAGGCGTCGGCGATCAGCGAGAACATCTCGATCGACCGGGACACAGCCAAGTCCAAAATCGCTTTGATCAACAACATTTTGCAACAGAAACCCGAGGGCGACAGGATCTTAGCCGACTGCAATCAGCAACTGAACATCGTTCTTGAGCAAACGTCGATACCGGGTCACGCCCCGTTGCTCAAGAGTTTCGAGCAACAGAAGAAGATCTGGCAGGACTTCCTTCAGCAATGCGCGACGAGCAGAGACAAACTGAATCGTCTGTTCGACCAATGGTCCGAGTTCGAGAGAGTGGTCGAACATCTGGAATCCTGGTTGAAACAGATCGAGGGCCAGGTTAAGGATCAGAGCTTGAAGAGTACCGAGGAAACGAAACGCGTTCACATGCAGAAGTTGAAGTCTCTCGAGGAAATTATCGTGGCGAAGGGTGCGGAGTTTAACGCGGCTGTCGAGAAGAGTCAGAGCGTGGAAGCGGAATCCGATCTGGCCGCCAGAGTGTCTCGTCAAGCCACCAGGTACCAAGCGATCAGAAATCAAGCGAAAGAGGCTGTCGCGAAGTACGAGCAGTACGTGAGAGAGCACGCTCTGTTCAACGAGAGATACAATCAATTTCTGCAGTGGATTACCGAGATGGAGACCGAGCTGAGCAAACACAGCGAGATCGTCGGCGATCTGGCGTTGCTGCAGAGCAGACAGAAACACATCAGGGATCTTTGCGACGTTAGAACTCGCGAGAACACTCGCTTCGAATCCGTCATCGATCTCGGCGAGAAACTCTACGTGCACACCTCGCCCGACGGCCGAGAGATCATCAGGCAACAGCTAAGAAATCTGCGCAGCTTGTGGGACGGATTCTCCGAGAATCTTCAGAGCTCGATGCAAAAGTTGGATCAGTGTCTCATGCAGTTCGCCGATTTCTCGTTATCTCAGGAACAACTCACCTCGTGGCTGAAGGACGTCGAGCGAGCGATGCATCAGCACACGGAGCTCAAGTCCACGTTGGAAGAAAAACGCGCGCAATTGCAGAATCACAAGATCATGCATCAGGAGATCATGTCGCATCAGTCGTTGGTTGAGTCGGTCTGCGACAAAGCTCAACAGCTGGTCGATCAGACCAAGCACACGTCCCTCAACGTTTATCTGTCGTCCATCAAACAGTTCTTCCAGAGCATCGTCGCCAATTCGCGAGAGTTGTTGGAGAATCTCGAGGACTGTTGCGACAAGCACCATCGTTTCAATCTTCAATGCAAATGCTTCTCCGAGTGGTTGAACGGAGAACGGGAGAAACTGGCCGAGTGCAACGACGTGACCGGCGAACGTTCCGAGATATCTCGCAGATTGACGAGCCTCGCGGTGCTGAAGGAGGATCAGGCGCACGGGGCGGATCATCTCGCGAAATTGAAAGAACTCAAGACGTCTATGGCGAAGAACACCGCGCCGAAGGGTCGGGAAGTTATCGATAAGGAAGTGACCGCTTTGGAAAATAAGTTGCAGCAATATCTGAACGAAATCGGTAAGTAACACGCACTTTGCGTTTTTGGGTTTTTTTTTTTTTTTATACACAGCACAGTTACAATAAAATCAATCAAGAGAACTTGTATCTGATGTATCGACATCTTTGCTTGGCGACTCCTCGAATTTGTCATTAACTTCGATTTTTTGCAATTAAATATTAGCGTACGTGGAGGAACGGCTGAGAACGGCTCTGGAGAAATGGCAGAACTTCGAGGATCAGTTGGAAGTTCACACAAAGTGGTTCCGTTCCATGGAGGCGATGTTTCGGGATCAGCAGCTCCAGGCGACGTTGAAGGACAAAGAAGCCCGACTTAACGCGTTCAAGGACAAACGAGAGAGCATCGCGCAACACGAGCGCAAGATCGACGAGTTCGTGGACGAGTCGCACAGTTTGCTGCACACGAGCGGTATCGCGCGTATCAAACCCCTCATCTCTCAAGTCAGCAACAGATACCAGTTGCTGCTCGCGTTAAGCAAGGACGTGATAAATCAGTGTCAGACTATCGCTGACGAGCATCGCGCCTACGAGGATAAGCTGCGAATCATCGACGATTGGCTCACGTCTCTCGAGCGCAACCTCGACACCTTGAAGAAGGACGAGATCGGCGAAGATCTCGAGGCGAGAAATTCGCGTTTGCAGGTTTTGCTGGCCGAGAAGGAACAGGCCGGACATCGTTTGGCCGGATTGACGTCTCTAGGCGAGAGAATTCTTCCGGACACTTCAGCGCAAGGACGCGAAGCGATCAGACACGAGCTGCGACACGCGCGCGAACGATGGGACCGTCTGGCCGAGAGCATCACCGAGCAACAGAAGAAGCAAGACGCGCGATCTCTGCAATGGTCCAGTTATCAGGAAACTCTGCAGCAAATTCTAGCCTGGTTGGACACCATGGAACGCGCGGTTAAACAAGATTCGTCGATCGTGTGGTCGTCCCTTCAAGAGATAAGATCCAAATTACTCAAACTTAAGGTTCGCGCACCAATTACGTATCTAATGTACCTTTATTTCTTTTTTTATTTATTTTTTTTTTTAATCGAGATTAAATATTTATATCAAATGCGTGCGAAATTTGTTTATTTAACATGATTAAATATGAAAATATATGTTAAATATAGAAAATATTTCTAATTGCGAGAAGAGCGAGCTGTTCACGGCGCCATATATTGTTGGCGGCGGAACTCGGGAGGATGGCGCCAGGAACATCTTGTTTCTTGCAAAATATAAAATATAAAATATTTACTTGCAAAATATAAAATATTTTGTCTCCGGAAAAATAAATAAAAACAGATTTCACGCGTTTACGTAAATATTTAGCAGTTTGTAAACTGAAAAGAAAAAAAATAAGAGAAGAAAACAGCTTGCATTTTTCTTTCTTATTTTTGTTTTTACTTTTTTATTTAACTTTTTCTTGTTCTATTTTCAAGACGGTGCATCAGGAGATTTTGGCGCACAAGCGAATAATCGAGGGCATTTCCGAAAAAGCTAGCGCCTTGATTCAAGTCGCTCAAGTTCCGTCAGACGTTCACGAGAAAGTTGTTTCGGTATCGAAGAGATACGAGAAACTGGTGGATACGTCGCAGAAGGGAATATTCGGATTGGAGGCATTGCTCGATATTTTTCAACAATTTCACGATTTGCAAAAAGCTTATCAGGATTATCAAAAACGTCAGTGGGAACGATTGGCGAATTACAACGATTACACCGGGAACAAATCCGCACTGCAAGCCAGATTGGCCAAAGTAATGGAAATACAAGACAGTCAGAGCGAGGGCGAGATCAGGCTGAAGGTTCTCGAGGAACACGTGGCGCAAAGCTCGCGCACTTTGCCACCGCGATCTCAGGAAACCATGGAACGAGATCTGGCGAATCTCAAGTGAGTGAAACGATAAGGAAACTGATATATACTATAAGTGTTAAAAAATTAACAACTGTTAATTAACTTTGACTTTGAGTCACACTTGAGATATTGAATCAAAAACACTGTGTTTTGCTTTGAAATTTTGAAACTCTGGCACAGCATCTTCAAAAAATCGCACTTCTCGCACCAGTTCTCGAGTAATGAGAAACAAATATATTCAAAAAGAAATATTAAAATATTAAAAAATATTAAAAATTAAAATATTAACTTTTTGATTAATCAGTAGAATAGAATTAAGAATCCGCGACCTAGCCACAGTCCTCCGAGGAGTATTGATGATCAACTAAATGAACACACGTTGAACTTGTCCCTTAGATTCGAGCACAAGAAATTCGCTACAGCCGTGAGCGACGTCGTGCGCGGCATCGAGGAAAGAATACAGCAGTGGAGCGAGTACGAGAGCTCGTTGGAACGTTTGCTCACCTGGCTCGTCGACGCCGAAACGTCACTCAAGAATTATTGTCTTAAGAACACGCTCGAGGAGAAACAGGAGCAACTCGACAAGTATCAAGTGAGTTTATGGACCAAAGCGATCGGAAGAGCAAAGTTGACGAGATCATGTTTTCATGAGCTTGTTTTCATCTTTTTCACGTAAGAATTTGATGAAACGAACGACCACCACTTGTCGAATTAGGACACACGAAGAGACACGCTAAATAATTCATTTACCACGAAGTTGTGCAGATTTTCAAAGCATCCGAGATTTTGATCAGCACGTAGTAGTTTTTCTGTTTGGCCACAACACACGTTTGCGACACATGTGACCGCGATGAAAATGTTTTGCAGTGTTTCTTTTTTTTTTTTTTATACAACCCTTGTATGAGAGACACAAATCGTGTGCGAGTAGAGTCAGCGGAAATGCGAGAGAAGAAAACGCCCCCGCTCCCCCCACGTCCACGCAAACTCTCTCTTATCTCCACAACTCGCGTAATTAATTTTTGTCCCCTCACGCAATTGATTCTGTATATGAACAAAAATTTCCTGTAGGAACTGCAAAAGGTCTCTGATTCGCGGAACACGGACGTGACAGAACTGGTTGCGCTCGGCGATCATCTCGAACAAGTAAGAGATACTGCGAACTGTGTTATACAACTACTTGCCAAATACTTTTTGCCAAGAGAGACGGGATCATCATCGCAAACAAAGGCTTTATACATTGCGCAACGAGTGTTCTTCTTCTTTTTTTTTTTTTGTCCTCTCTGACTGTGAATTGCGTTTCTCTGTCGCGGTCTTTCAGCTTTTGCGGCTTTTTTTTTTATCAGGCGAAGGCGACGTTGGTTCTGGCGTTGAACGACAACGCGCGATCAGCAAGATCCAAGATACGACGATACAAGTCTGGCCGTTTTGCCGAACGAAATCAATATCATCAAGTTTTTTTTAATTGATCGTCACTTGGACTCAGAGCATCTCTGTGTCTCGATCTCACACGTTGACATCTTTGCAAAGTTTTGTGTATAATATCGGATCTTTGATGATTTATTGATTTGCGTTCAGCGAACACCGCGTTTTCAGCTTTACAATATTCGCAGCAAAGGAGTTTTGTTTTTGTACAATGAGCTTCTCTCGCACTAAGATTTTCTCATTAATTAGGACACAAACAAATTATTATTGTACGTACGAATGAAACAATTAAAAACTCTATGATGCGCCTATCGCATTTAACGCACATTATTTCTTCTTAAATGTTGTTTTAACACTCAACAACAATAATCTAACCGGGCTTCTCGCTCCGAGAGACAAAATTCTCGACTTCCTCCTCGCATATATAAAAAAATTCGCAAAACAGAGACTCCTCGTCGTTAGTCTCAATCCGCAAACGTGCGCTAAAGAGCGATTTGTTTTTTTTTTTTTCAGTCACTGATTGCGAATCTCCGACAAAACGAGGCGGAATTCGACAAAATGAACGACAATTCGTCGGAGCTGATGCAGATAAGCGGCGAGACCAGATTTTCCGCCAGTATTCAACAAGTCACGTCGCGTTTCCAATCGATTCAAGTGACCGCCAAGGTGTGATATAATTTAATCAAAATTTTGTTCGCAACAACACATAAATCGCGTCTGAACTAATTTTGTACGCAATTACGCGGTTTAGGAACTCGTAAAGAAGTGTGAACAAGCGGTCGCGGACCATGCGAGCTACTTGGATCGTTACAAGCAATGTTCCGAGTGGTTGGCAGGCACCAGAGCGCGTTACCAAGCCATCAGGGAAAACGCAAGCGGTACCCGTCAGGAGTTGATCTCGAACGTTGACGTCTTAAGGGAGATTCTAGCTCGTCAGTCCACATCGACGGTTCTGATAAACAGCTCCGTCGAGGCTGGGGAACGATTGTATCCAACGACCGGCGCGGAGGGTCGAGAAATCATTCGCCAGCAACTGTCGGATCTTCAACAAGCCTTCGAGGAGTTTTACGACGGCGTGGCGTCGACCGAGCGAGAGTTGCAAGAGAAGATTTCGCGATGGTCCGGTTTCGACGAGTGCAGCGAGGCCTTTGAAAATTGGCTGAAGACAGCGGAGGCTCAGTTGAAGCGGGAGATCGAATTGAAGACCACCTTGGACGAGAAACGCGCCCAGTTGCAGATCTATCGCACAATCTTGCACGACGCTCAAACGCATCAGCAGGATCTGTTGGATTTCCGAGACAGGGCGGACAATCTGCCGGATCGAACCGACAGGATCGATCAGACGCTCAACAGTTTGACAGATCGGTACAACGCGTTGCTGAAACGCGCGACCAAATTTGTGGAGAGATACGAGGGCATAGTTAGCGATCATCAGCAGTACAGCAAGGCTGTTCTAGACACCCACGAGTGGTTGGACGCCACGCACAACGCCGTGAGTCTGTGGGGCGATGTGGAGTTGGAAAGAGTGTCTCTGCACACGAATCTGGACCGTTTGAAGAATCTGTTGCATAGTCTGCCGGAGGATCAGTCGCGGGTGCAACAGATCAGATCGTTGGGCGAGAAAGTGATACCCGGCACTCTGGAATCGGGACAGGTGAACATACGATCGCAAATCGATTCCTCGCAACAGGAATGGGAAGGTTTGATATCCGCCGTCAAGTCCACGATCGAGGCGCTCGAGAGCAAACTTCAGCAATGGAACGAGTTCGAAACGTCGAAGGAACAGTGTCTGGCGTGGATGAGGGACACCGACACGAAGTTGCACGCTGTCGATCTCAAGCCTACCTTAGCGGAGAAGAAGAACCAACTTGAAAAATTGCGCGCTCTTCAGGGCGAAGTTCGCGCCAAGGAACTCGAGATCGACGCTGTTGCCGAACGAGCTCAGCAGCTTCACAAGAACGTCACTTCTCGCACGTCCCACATGTCGGAATTGAGCATCAAGTATCAACAGATCTCGAACAAAATCAAAGATCTCAACAATCGCTGGCATCAGTACGTCGCCACGCATCAAGATTTCGACAATCAACTGGCAGAATGTACCACTTGGCTTGAAGACATTAGAAACAAACTGGCCTACTGTTCCGACTTGAGCGCATCCTCGCAGAAAGATCTGGAGCGAAAGATGGATATCGTGCAAGACCTGTTGTTGTACAAAGAAGACGGTTTTGCGAAGGTTCAGGGTATCATTGAACTGGCTCAGGCTGTTCTAGCGAATACAGCTCCATCCGGTCATCAAGCGATCAACGACGCTTTGGCGAGACTTCAGGAACAATGGAGCGCCTTGGCGTCAAAGATGCTCGAGACCAAGACGAATTTGGACGACTCGATTAACAAATGGGCCGGTCTGTTGGAGCAAATACAATCTATCAACAAGACGGTCGAGTACATGCAGACGTCGATCGACGAGATATCGCAGTTTCAGACAACGATGTCGGAGAAGAGGAGCCAATTGGAACGGATCAAAGCGCTCGAGGAAAAAGTTCGCTGCGAGAACATCGAGGTCGACAGTCTAAAAAGCAAGGTCGCGGAAATGATCGCGAGCGGTCAGCAAGGACTGGCTGCTTTGCAAGCTCAGGATATACTGAACAAATTTGACCAACTGTTCGAGAAGATTAAATCTCTGTTGACCGAACGGGAGGAACAGTACAAGGATCATCGTCTTTACAAAGAAGCGCACGACGATCTCATCAACTGGCTCAGTCGCGCGCGCGAGAAGATACCGTCTATGAAACAAAGATCGCTCAGCGACAAGCTGGCGATCGAGAACGCGGTCGGGCCTCTCGAAAGTCTCTTGAACAAGAAAGCTCAGGGCGAATTGCTCGTGGAACATTTGCAGCACACCGGAAAGGTCGTCTGTGCCAGCACCAGCCCCGCCGGGCAAGAAGTGATCAAAAATGAAATACGAGCACTTACGGAAAGTTTCGAAGGACTGTTCAAAGGTAAAAATATAACATCTATCATTTTCCCAATCTCTTGAACCGTTTGACACTTTGAAACTGATTTGTTGGATATTTTTTATCTGATTTTAAAATATTACATCTATCAAATAATTTTGTTATTGCGTGCGCACAAAAAAAAAACTATTTTTTTCTTCAGAGAATATATCTTAATTTCGTTATTAGCGAGGAATTGATTTTCTTTCAGAAATTCAACAGCAGAAAAATCAACTGGAGGCTACTGTGAGCCAGTGGCGCGACTACAAAGACGAATACGAGAGACTGAGCGACTGGTTGCAGCAATTCGACATTCTCATCAAAGCTCAGAAAAATGCTCTTTTGCCAAATTTGACGGAAAAGAAGAAACAGGTTCAAGAAGTGAGAGAATTGCTCGACAATCTGACGAAAGGCAAGGAGCAGATTGAGAAATTCAACAAGACCGCGGCCGGTCTGCTTTCGTCTCATCTGGACACTTACGTCAACAACCAGCTGCGTCATTTGAATTCGCGTTATCAGGTTCAAGTGAATCTCGCTAAAGACGTGCTGAACAAGGTCGAGACCAATTTGGCGCAGCATCAGGAATACGAGAGCAATCTCGAAAAGGCTCGCGGTTGGATCGACAACGCCAAGCAGATCATACGTCAGGGAACGGAAGCGGCCTCGAGCAGCAGTCGCGAGGAATTGCAGAGCAGACTCGATAAGATTCAGGAATTGTTGAGAAAACGCGAAGAGGGTCAGAATCTGGTGCACTTGACGGTTAACTGCGGCGAGAAGGTGATGAGAAACACACGATCGGACGGTCGCGAGGAGATCAACGCTCAGTTGAAGGAGATACAAAACGACTGGGAACGTCTGGTGAAGAAGATCTCGACCACGAAGGTGCATCTCGAGACGAGTCTGCTCCAATGGGCGGATTACAGTTCGTCTTACTCGCAGTTGCAGCAGTGGATCAACGATCGCGAGGCTAAACTGCAGCAGGTGTGCGAGCAAAAGGTCTCGAAAGCTCGAAAGGGTCTCGCCGGATTGAGTTCGTTGGCGATCGGAGAAAGAAAAGCGAATCTGCGACAAACAAACAGCATCGTTCAGGATATCGTGGCATTCGAGCCGATGATTCACTCGGTTACTACGAAAGCCGAGGACTTGCAACAGGCAACACCCGCCACGGAGATTTCGATCAAGTACGAAACTCTGAGCAAACAAGCTCAGGAATTGTACGCGAAGCAGAAGGAGACCGTTGAGCAACATCAGGCGTTCATCGACAGTGGCAACGAATTTATTCAGTGGATAAGAGCGGCCAAGGAGAGACTCGGAAAGTGCTCGGAACCTACAGGCGACAAAGAGTCTCTGGCTAATAAGATCACGCAACTCAAAATTCTGCAAAGCGAATTGTCAGACGGCCAAAAGAAGTTGGAAAAGGCTCTGGAACAAGGTAATGCGGCCTGTCAGATCGCGGATGACGAAGACAAAGAGATAATTGAAGAAGAAGTTGCACTGTTGCAAGAAGAATACGACAATTACGTGTAAGTAAATGCCAATTAATTAATTTAATAAAAATATAATTAAGAAATATATTAATTTTTAACTTATTTTCTGTACTTTGTTATGCGCAACATAGAGCTGTGCAAATAGTTTCGTATAAACGATTTGATAATTTATCATTTCAGAGATTCGTTGAATAACACCAAGAGCTTGCTCGAGGTCGGTATAGTAAAGTGGACCGAGTACGAGGATCAGTTCTCCGAGGCCACGGAATGGCTCACGCAAACCGAACAGCTGGTTCAAACATTCAACAAGTTGCAAGACAGTTTGGAAGAGAAGAAGAACGTTCTCGAACAATTTCAGGTTCACTTGCAGACGCTGTTTGACTGGCAGAAGGAACTGGACCGTTTGAACATGAAAGCTCAAATGCTGTTGGAAACCTGCGCGGACACGAGAATTTCCAATGCCATCACGCAAGTCACCACCAAGTACAACACACTTCTGTCGCTCGCCAAGGAAACAATGCGGCGATTGGAGTTGCATTATCAGGTAGTTTTTAACAAACTCTCATTTCGCTAACAAATCTAACAATATTATTAAAATAAAAATTATTTAAATATCTAAACTTGCAAGTATATATGTATACGTTTTCATTCGCAAAATTAATTAGGAGCACCAACAACACAATACTTTGTACCAAGAATGTCAGGATTGGATCGAGCGTACGCGAGAAAAGTTGAACGAGTGCAAAGACATTCCTAGCGTGTTAACCGAAGTTAACAACAAGTTACACACGTGCAAAGCTATTCGACAGACTTTGGAGCAGGGACAAAACAAATTGCGTTACGCTCTGGAGCTGAAGGAGAAGGTCATTATGAACACGGAACAGAATGGCGCGGCGAAAATTCAAGAAGACACCGAAACCTTGAAAGGCGACTTCGACAAGCTGTTAGCCGATGTCGACGACGTCAGACAGAGACTCTCGGCAAGAGCTAGCTTGCTGGAGGAACTCAACAAGATTCATCGATTTACGTCAGACTGGTTGGACGAGGTTCAGGGCAAAGTTCAACCGGGAGACGTGTGCAAAAATGATCTCAGTGAGAAACGTGCTCTGTTGGAGAAATATAAAATTCTCCAGAGAGACATTCACGGTCACGGAGAGACGGTGGATCGTCTAAAGACTCGTCTAAGCGAAAATCCAAGTATAACGAAAAGTCCTTACGAAGCTACCATCAACAAATACGACAGCTTGAAGAAACTGATATCCGAGAAGATTCGCGTAAGTAGAACAATTTTGCGCGACAAAATTTTTAATAAAATTTCACATTGCGATATCGCTTAATTTTTTGACAATATTTTAGAGCTTGGAGGATCAAGTCAAGGATCACGAGAAGTTCCAGCAAGCTCTGAGCGAGGCGAGCGATTGGGTGCGTCGCACGAAGGTAGAACTTCAACAATACAGCGACACTCACGGCGAGAAGGATCGAATTATCGAACGAGAAAATAAAGTCAATCAAATCATCTCGTCTCTACCGAAGGGCGACACGTTGATCTCTAAAGTGATCGAACTGAGCGACATTGTGATTCCCCAAACAGGTCCCGAGGGTCAGGCCTCCATCAAGCAGGATATGAAGCAGATACAGGCTGACTGGAAGTCTCTCCAGGTTCAGTGTCAGGATTCGCAGCGCGTTCTCGCCAACTGCATCTCGAGCTGGTCTCAGTTCACGAACGCGTTGGAAGGTATGAAGGGATGGATAGATCATTTTCAGAAGAAAATCGCCGACGAACAGACCAGAACCGACAAAACTCCGGAGGATTTGGAACGCTGTAAACGTTTGGTGGAAGAGGCGGTTAAGCAGAAACCAGTCTTGGAAGATTTGAACGACAAGTGCGAAGCTCTGTTGGAGGTCAGCGCTTGTAGTTGGGCGCGGGACAAAACGGTGCAACTGCAGTCGGCTTACACATCGCTTCTGACTGACGCGCAAGGACTTGTTTCGAGAGTCGAGAAGACTCTGGCGGATCATACGGAATTTTTGAAGGCAAAGAAAGAATTGGAAGATTGGCTACGCACGGCTCACGGTTCAGTGGAAGACTGCATCGGAGTGGGAGACACAGCGTGGGCGAAGGACAAATTGGAAACCTTAAGGGTAAGTTAAAAAAAAAAGTTGTTGAAAAATATATAATGTTTTTAAGGTGTTCTCGATTTCATATATTTTATCATTTGTGCAGCTGGTCGCAACGCGTGTGACTGAAGGTCAACATCTACTGTCAACGTTGCAAAACGCCTTCGCAAAGGCGATTAACATGGCTCTTCCGGAGCAACAAGATCAGCTACGATCGGATATGTCCAGTCTGCGTTCCAGTTGGGAACAGTTGAGCATGGACCTCAATACGGTTCAGGCGAAAATAAAGTCAGTTCTGAGTCGTTGGGAGGATCACGCGGAGGCTCTTTATAAATTCGCGAAATGGTTGGAAGAGAGTGAGAATGTCGTCAAAAGTTCTCCAGATACGAAGGGCGAGGTTGGCGAAATGAAAACGATGCTGGAACGATACAAACACATTCAAGAAGAGATTCACAACAAAAAATCCGACTTGGATCATCTACTGGCAGAGGCAACGGAACTGTCGGCATGGGCAAAGAACAACGCGACGCTGAACGAGACGAAGGAGCTGCAAGACCGTTGGCAGGCGCTGGGCAAGCTGATTGACGAGAAGAAAAAGCTCGTTGAAAATGAGATACAACGATACAACGCGTATCACGGGGCTTTGCAGGAAACGGAGAAGTGGCTGTTGCAAATCTCCTTCCAATTGATGGCCCACAACTCTCTCTATATCACCAACAAGGAGCAAACCCTCGAGCAGATTAAGCAGCACGAAGGTTTGCTAAACGAAATCGAGAATTATCAAGAAGTGTTGGAGGAGTTGAAGGCGAAGGGTCACGATCAAATAGATCGATATGTCAACGCAAACCCCGCGATTAGATCCACCATAGAGACACAGTTGCAAAACGTTCAGGACAGTTACAACTCGTTGCTGAACACCGCTCTGCAAATCAAGAACAGATTAGCGGAATCTCTGGCCAAATTCCAGGAGTACGAAGACACTCTGGAGAGCATAATGAAAAATCTGGACGCGTACGAGGCGGAAATGGCTCGAGAACTGGACGCCCCGTTGGATAACTTGACTTCTGCCGAGCAGAGCCTCGAGAGCGCTCGCACATTGCACAACAAACTCCAAGCCGAGAAATCCCGACTGGCCTTGGCGGTGGAAGCTTGCGAAGCCGCGGCCGCGTGCGTGTCCAGACCCGGAAGTCCCCTAGACGCTCCACCTATTCAGGTTCCCGCTAGAGAGGTCGAAGTTAGAACGAGACTCGACGATCTCATCGATCAGGTATGTATATTTTTTCTTCTAATAAGTTTATATGTTACCGTGCACCGCATATATGTAAGATTTTGAAGATATAAAACTGTTTGTGCAAAAACGTCAGATGCAAACGCACTTGGCGAACGTGGCGAAGACGGTGGGCGAACTCGAGGAACAAGCGCGACAGAAGAACACGCTGCGCGCTTGGATCACTCAACAACGGGCTCTCTGCGCCGAGTGGAACTCGAGACCGGCGAAATTGCGATCGGAAGCTGCTCAGGCTGAATTGCAGGCGATGAACGAATTGCTCGCTAACGTGGACGAACGTCGCGCTCGCACCTTGACCGAGATGACGATTCACGAGGATGATCGGGATATCGAGGACGGATTGAACAAGCTTGAGACCGAACTGACCGACGCAATTGCCAGAAAACAAGCGGCGCAAGATCTCATACAAAAGTACAGATCGCAAGTGCAGGATATACAAACGTGGTTCGACAGTCTGACGAAGAAGATCGACGTGCTCGAAAAGGGCAGCGGACTCGCGATCAATCAGAAGATCTCGAATCTCAAAGACATCACCGCCGATTTCGAGTCTCAGGGACCGGAGAAACTCGCTGAAATGAAGAAACTGGGCGATCAAGTGATGGACTCGGTCAGCAATTTGGATTCTCAACAAATCGAGGAACAAATCAAATCGGTTGAGAGAAGATACGCGGACATCAGCAAGAAATTGCAGAGAAAAGCCCAGGTTCTGGACATGACGGCTCAGGGTATCGAAGCGACCAAGCGAGAGATCGAGGAGAATCGCGAATGGATCGAGCAGAAGAAGCAGCAGATGAAAATGCCCGAACTGCTTGGCTTCGAGAGCAAACAGGCCGAAGAAAGACTGCTCGCTCTCAAGGTAATAATTTGAGCTCGTTTTATTTGTCGCTTTACTCTTGCGAAATTTCAATCTCATTTTGTTGCATTATATTCTTTGTAAATAAAACAAATTGTAATTTTGTTAATATCAATTCAGGCTATGCTGAAAGAAGCGGAGGGAAAACAATTGATCATAGATACGTTGGAGAAGAGAGTCGGGAATATGCAGAACGAATTGGAAACCAGCGAGCAACAGCAATTGGAAGCCGACACGAAGAGTTTGCGCGGCGAACAGGTTGAATTGTGCACAATTCTGAGAGAAGAAATATCCGTGGCTAGCGCGGCGGTCGACGCTCGTCGCAAATTGGAAGCCGATATCGAACAGGCTCGAAATTGGATAAAGTCCAAAGGCAACGATCTCAAGAAGCTCAGCGGATACCTGCCTCTCAAAGCTTCCAAGGTCGAGCAAGATGTTGCGCAACACAGAGATCTCCAGACGGAAATCAATTCTTTCAACGACACCAGTCTTAAGGACATTCTCAAACAGGGACACAATTTGTTGAAAGACTGCAACGCGGAAAGTCGCGCCAAACTCCAGGCTCTTCTCGATGATCTGAGCAAGGATTATGACGAACTACAGAGAGTGGCGAAGGAAAAACAAGCCTCGTTAGCGGATCTTCTTCAGGGACGCAAGAGTTTCGAAAACGAATTGGACAAGTGCCAACGGTGGATCAAGGAAGCCGAAGTAGCCACTTCATCCGAATTGCGACCCTCCAGTCTTGACATTCTACGTGAACAACTTGCCAAGGTACGTACATCTTCTAGATGTAAAATTATTATTCAAGTGCTCAAATCATCATTATCAAATAGAAAATATTTACGTTAAAAATTTCACGCAGAAACACAATCTTCTCTTTTTTTTTTTCAGTACGATCGCTTGAAGAAGGAGGCGCAAGAATACGGCGACGACATAGAGAAGATAAATCAACAAGGAAAATCGATATTGCCAACCGTGAGCTACGCCGATAAGCAAGAACTGAACGAACAGTTGAAGAACATGAAGGAAGCTCACGCGCGAATAGCCGGCGTGATAAGCGACAGAGCCGCGGCGTTGCAAAAGAGCATAGACGAAGCCGAGGAAGCTGCCGCGCGAGTTGCGGAAGCGATTCAGTTCATGACGGACATACAGAAGGAGCTTCAAGACCTCAACAAACCGATTGGCTCGCGCGTGGAAGACGTGGAAGGAATGCTGACCGCTTACGAGAGAATTCTGGACGATCTCAAAGCGAACAAGGCCAAGCTGTCTGATCTTCAATCCGCCAACGTCGGAGATCTTCACGGTGTACTTGCCCAACAGGATGATCTGATAAGAGCGCTCGAGGCGCAGATAGCGAAGCTACGTCAATTGTTGCTGCTGCGCCAGCAATTCATCGCCCTGATCGCGGAGATCACCACCTTCATTGCCAAATACACCGAAATCGTCAGGGACATCGAGAAGGCCGGACAGACGACGGAAGACAAGATCAAAAGGTATTGTGCTTTTCGCGCACGGAGTTTCTTCGGACGCGAAATCCAAACAATCTTTTTTTTCTCCGGAGATAAAATAACAAATTAATTACGTCGAAGTAATTACTTGGAATTTTTTTCATGTGAAGTTTTTTTTTTCATCAGGTACGATGACGTTATACTGAAGATTCAGGAATGCGAAGCCACTCTGGCCAGCGCGACGGACAAGGGACAGCAAATAGCGGCGGAGGGTTCGGTCGTGGACAGAAACAACGTGACCGAGCAGTTGCAATCGTTGAAGCAACAATTGCAGGCACTTCGACGAGCGGTGGAAACGCAAAGGGAGCAACACGAACTGGCCGCGGCGGAGCACAGGAGACTCGCCAACGAACTGGCCGACATACTCGACTGGTTCGAAAGCAAGGAGAAGGAGGTCAAGTCCAGACCGCTGTTGGAGAGAGATCCGGTCAGCGTCGAGACGGAATTGAAGAAGCACCACGCTCTTTGCGCCGACGTGAACGAACATCTCGACAGAATCAGAAAGTTGAAGGAATCGGTGCGTCACGAAGAGGGCATGCCCGGATCGTTGAAGGAGATGCTGAGCGAGGCGACGTCCCTGCTGACGTCTATGCCGCGCGAGATGGAAGAGCGCGGAAATTATCTCGAAAGTAACATGCAGATGAGACTGGATTACGCGGCTCTAACCGACAAGCTCAACGGTTGGGCTCGCGAGGCCGAGATTCGACTCGAGAGCAACAAGGAAGGTCTCGACTTCGAAAACATTCTCAGCGATCTGGAAGAGCATAAGGTGGGGGACCGTTTCTCTCTCTCTCTCTTTTTATCTCCTAACGTTCTTCAAATTGTTCGCGATTTTTTTTTTTTTTTTACCAAACCGATAATTTGATTCATTCTCACAGATATACTTCAGCACCGAGTCTTCGATACGCGAACTCGTCTCGCAGCAGATACAACAAGCGGCCGACAAGATCTGGCCGTCTCTGGACAGTTACGAGCAAGAGGAACTGAGCGCCCAGCAACAACAGCACACGCAGCTGTTGAAAAACACTCTCAATCTCGCCAAGTCGCAACGTTCGCAATTGGAACAGGGCGCGGAGATGTGGCGAGATTACACGCAAAGCTTGGAACGCGTTCGCGCCGTCATCAGCAGGACGAGATTCACGGACGAACCGGTTACCACGTTGGCCGGACTTCAATTCAACATTCAAAAAATTACGCACGCCCTCAACGACATTCAGGTGCGTTCCGAAGATATCGCTATCTCTTGATTGTATGTTACAAGAGTCTGTTATGTTGATTTTATCGTTTAATTACGTAATTAATTAAAATAATTAAAATATCATTTAAGACCCGCGACGCGGACACAACGTAGAATGGCGTTGCAAAAAATTAATATAAAAGTAACATGAAGAGCGCGCAAATGTGAATCTATCCTCAGATGTTGTATCAAATAAATGACAAAACTACTAAAAAAAAAAAAACAAACAAGATAATACAAAAGATAAATTTGATTCGATCAAGTCGACAAGTCAAAAGTTTCGAACACACACGTTTAGATTATTTTCTACACCGAAAAAATTGTATTCTTGTTTTGAGGATATCCCACTTACTTTAAGTATATTTTATACTAAAATAGGCGCCAAGAAGAGTTTCTTATTTTAAGAGGAAAATCTTCTAAATAGTAATATTGATAA